TATGGTTCATGGTACCTTTATCTAAGCCACATTCTAGAGCTAGAGCTCTTAACTCTCATTTTTGCAACAAGTATTTACAATTCTCAATCTACAGATAATTGAAGTTACATATTTGTTTGCTTGGGAGGAGTAATCACTTGGATGGCAGCATAAAGCTTATTGATTTCTTAAACTTACACAAACACTACACATTGAATAAAACCACCATTTATGGATTTTATAGTGTTTAATTACTATTTTAACTTATTTTTATTATACCGACGTTTCGGGTCCCCCCTTGACCATGGGTGCTGTAAAGCACCCGAAACGTCGGGATAATAAAGATAAGTTAAAATAGTAACTAAATGCGATAAAATCTGTCAATGGTGGTTTTATTCAATAATGCTTATTCTTTAGATTTTTAGATACTTTCCACAATTTATTCCAATTATCATTCAGTTTTCTTTTAGATAGTAAAATTAGATCATGTGAGTAAATAAAATTTTGCACAATGCCATTAGCAATTGTATTTTAGCAAGTACTTCAACTGTCTCATTTCCGTAGAAAGCACATTGATTCCTTTTAAATGGTATCTAAATAAAGTATTTTTCATTTTGAGAATTAGTGGTTTATGTTTGTTATGGAATTGATTGGACCAAATAGCTAACAAGCAACTTTTGAATCTGTGAAAATAACTGTTTTATTAAGATAATGGGACTCTACATATAACAACGCATGGGAAGTACCCCCCTTACCCTTCCCCCATTGCAGAAATGTATAGTTTTATGAATAATAATTTTTTTTTTTTTTTTTTTTTTTTTTTTTAATTATGACCCCACTTTTTTATACAGGAATATTGACCCAAAGTTACATCTGCAACGGCTTCGGCACTGCGGGAAGTGCAGCCCCTTCGCCCTTGCGTAGCGAATTACAGGCACCCATGCTTGCCTCCGTAGCTTCGGCTTTTAGTCGATTTCGGCATCCAGCCTCAGCCGCTACGGCTCATTTAGCTGCCTGCGATTTGCTACAGCGGGCGGGGGCTGCTCTCCCTCCGTGCCTACGGCTTTACAAAAACACTCTAGGGGTACGGGTAGGGTGCACTAATACGGTTTTAGAACCGATTCGACCAATCTTATCTATAAACTCTGGTTGCCCTAAACTCTGCTATGATATTGGTAAATGAAATAATGTAATGTGAATTGACATAATTTTGTTTTCTGAAAAACCTCTTGACTGCTCTCCACTGCAACTCAATTTGTTGTATATAAGTCCCATCTACAGCCACAAATGGATCCCCCCCGAACGGGTTCCCGCCTTGTCGTGGCGGGGGGGCTTAGTAGCCGTGGCTTGGTCTCCCACGGTGAACAAAGAGGAACCCACGTGGCTGGCCCGAGGTGAAGTGCCGGCCTGATGTGGCCACTCCGAGTGGGCTTGGGGAGCCCACTTCGGATGTGTGCTGGTGGACTGCAGCGAGTGGGGACTCGCGCACCCGCTACCGCTGCAGCCGAGGTGGAGTCGCGGAGGAAGAGGAGTGCTGGTATGGCGATGCGCCACTCGCCCTATCCTTCGCGACTCAAATGGGGCCGCACCGTTGATGCGGTGGTGGTGGGGCTGCGGGGGGAGAGGATTGTCGGTATTGCGAGGCGCCGCTCTCCCTACCCTCCGCAGCCGAATCTTGGTTGGCGGCGGAGCCATAGACCAGATCCGCCGCTGGGGTCGGGAAGGCTAGTACTTCTAAGTGCTCGTTTTTCCTTGCCCCATGGCCTTTGTGCATCGGACGCGGGGGCGTCTGTTGCACAGACGTAATTGGAGGCCGTGGAGGAAGGCGCGCCATGTGTTCTGGTGCGCCTTACCTGGGAAGGAGAACGGGGAGGAATTTTCCTCTCCCGAGGAGGTGCTGCAATGGGGCGGCAGGCGCTAGTAGGGCCGCGGATGTGTGCGAAAGCGTTCCCGTAGCTGCCAATATGCGACAAAGGTGGAACACCATGGGGTTTTAGTCGGTGCGAGTCCGACATAACCCGTCCTTCCCCCCGCGAGGCGGGTATGCGTAGGCATTTCCCCATGCAAAAAAAAAAAAGCCACAAATGGATTGTCTGGATCTGAGTGATTAACTTTTTTATGAGTGTATCTGTTTTAAAAAAACAAATTGACATCTTTGCGTTTCGTTATTTCAATTTTTAGTGAAATTTATTTTTATCATAATTAATTCAAAAGGCATTTCTAAAATCGAAAAACAGTGTAAATAGTTCGAGCTTAACCCTGACGATCCTCCTAAATTGAAAATAAAATTAAAAATTAAGACAACAAATTGACATATTTGCGTTTCGTTATAGCACAATTTTTAGTAAAATTTGTTTTTATCATAATTAATTCAAAATGCATTGCAACAGTGTAATAGGTTCAAGCTTAACCGCAACAAGCTTCTTAGACCAAAAAAATTATCAAAATCAAGTACGGATGTCTATAGCCAACCCCAAAAAAGTTTTGACCAAGCCTTTAAATACATACTCATGGTCAAATGTTTAAAATCACTTTTGACCGTTTTGAGTATGTGTTTAGTAAAAAAGTGTTTAATATTTTGCAAAATGTTTAATGACAATTGATTTTGGGACAAACTAATTTTTTTCTGACTAAACTACACTAGCCATCAAAAAAATCGGCCACCTGCGTTTTTGCCGCAAATCACGTTTTTCTAAAGCAGAACCAATCAAAATGTTTAAGTACTGAAATGTTTTATTTAACTTGTTTATTTACACCAATTTAATCACAGTTACAACATCAAAATGATTTTTTGAACATAATTTTCATTTAAAAACCAAAATCTTTAATTTTTCACAATTATTTTTATTAATTTTCAATACGCTCTAGTTTTTATGTATTGAATTTTATGTACACAATTCCCTCAAGGTCTCCTAATGTTGTAGGGACAGGATTAAGAGCTCTAACCTTTTGTTTTAGGGTGTCCCACATGAGCTCTATAGGGTTGAGATCAGGGCTTCTTGCTGGCCGCGACATAACCCGAATGCCGACCTCTTCAAGGTAATCGGTTGTGATGCGCGCTACATGTGGTTGTGCATTATCATGCATTAATTCAAAGGTCTCTCCAATATTGCCGGCGTATGGCACCACATGGTCTTCTAAAATCTCTGTGATGTAGCATGCTGCAGTTAAAGCACCTCTTCGTATGAAAACCAGCTCAGTGCGTCCAGTCATAGATATCCCAGCCCAAAACATTACAGAGCCTCCACCATAACTGAGTTTCTCTTATGCAACACTGGGTATAACGTTCACCTGGTCGTCGCATGACATTACGACGTCCGTCAGAACCGTATAAAGTCATTCGACTCTCATCACTACAAAGAACTGACTCCCATTGGGCTATAGTCCAGTTGATGTGGTTACGCACAAATTGAAGTCTGGCTTGTCGATGATATGTGGTCAATTGTGGTCTTGTTGCTGGCTTGTGAGGTCTTAAATTCTGCTCAAGAAGTCTCCTTCTCACAGTACTATCACTTATAGCTACACCTTCGATCTTCACGTAAGCATCGCTGGAGATCAACCCCAGATAGGTGCCGATTTCGTAGAGCTGATAACACTATAAATCGGTCATCCCTTTGAGTTGTCACCCTATGTCTTCCAGATCCCTTTAACCTTTGGTAAACTCGCACTGCAGAACAGCTCAGATTTGACCTCCTGGCCACGACACATTGACTTAAGCCTTGTTGCAGCAAAGCCACAACTTGGGCCGCCTCAGCTTCAGTAGTGTCCATTATTTTTAGACAAAGTAATCAAAGCTCCTCAGTAAATAAACTTAACATTATTAAAGAGAAATCCCTTACAAAAGTCTGTGTCGAACTGAAATAACGGTTTGAATTTGTTCCGACGTAAAACAACGAAATCAGCACTCAACAGTATTTCTGTATAAAAAATTGTAAAGTACCTTCAAATGCAATAATATTTACGACAAACAAGGTGTCAAACATCGTATCCACCCTTAAAATAAACTATAAGTAAATAATAAGTGGGTCGATTTTTTTGATGACCAGTATAGTTTATCGTAAACAATTTTGTTGTTGTTGGTCCTTCACTGCTGGCTGTATGAGGACGCTCAAAGTCGCTCAGCGAGCTATGGAGAGGGTTATGCTCGGAGTTTCTCTGCGTGATAGACTCAGAAATGAGGATATCCGCAGTAAAACCAGAGTGACCAACATAGCCCAATGGATTAGTAAGCTGAAGTAGCAACGGGCCAGCCATATAGCTCGAAGAACCGATAACCGATAAGGAAGAAAGGTTCTTGAGTGGCAGCCTCATACCGGTAGGCATAGTGTAGGGCGACCCCCCACTAGATGGAGTGACGACCTGGTAAGATATGCAGGAAGTCGATGGATGCAGGTGGTTCAGGACCTTGCTTTGTGGCATTACTTGGGGGAGGCCTATGTTCAGCAGTGGACTTGTGAAGGGCTGTAATGATGATGATGATGAGGAATCTTGTTGAAAAAGGTGTAATATTAGCAATCTACGATCACTAATATTACAGTGCACCTTGAGTGACACTTGCCAAGGCCACAAATATTTGGTTCATCCTGTGGGGTTAGTAAAAAAACTAGTATAGCCTAGGATAAGCTAATTTGTCCTAAAATCTGGTTTGATCAGTAATTAACTGTTTTAATGCAAATGTTCTCAAAACTAGTTTTGGCAGGAATTTCAACGAACAAATATGTATTTTTGAGGGCAAGCTATGACATGGAGTACCCTATTCCCCTTTAGACATTTTAATGTTAGAAAAAATTATCATAATGCTTCTATTTAGCAGAAAATTATGAAATTTTCAAATACAAACTTTCTACTGACAGTGTACATATCTTAAATACGTATAAAATAAAAAGTATAAAAAATTAGATAAAATAAATACACCAAATTTCAGGTTTCACACGTTTAGCCAATCAAGTTTTTCTCGAGAATCAAGAACTTTTTTCTCTAGGTTATATTGAAACTTTGAGGTTTAAAAAGGTTACATTTACCTGGAATTTTTCGAATTGTTCACGTTCAGCATCCAGACTATTTTTCTTTAGCTGGAGTACTCGAGGAAGCGATAATGACGCCATAGATTTCGCACATACAAGAGACACCCACAGTTAAAGTAACAATGACCACAATTTATATGGTTAAATAAAGGCTGATTTCCACGACACTACGTACCACTTCCACTATAATTTAAGAAGCAACCGGGTAAAATAATTAATGTGATTAGTTTCGTAAACAAACAATTTTAATTTCAAAAACACGTCCACTACGAATATCGTTTAAATAAACATGAATTAATTTGACAATGACATTATAAAATTGACATATGACAGTTGAGTTGACATTTTACAATGTAACTTTTTATTATTTTTCCTTCAATACAAAGGAATCTACGCCCATACAGGCTAGTATCACGTGCAATTTGTTTACAAAATTATCAAAAATATTGTGCTGATGCGACATATTAAGATGTTTTTGGGGGATGCTTTATCCAGAAGACACTTGAATGTAGTATCTCAAGGTATATAGCGCATAATAAAGAAATTGAGATTTTACCATCAAAACACTTGTTATATCGTTTCTATTAATTCCACTTCGCATGCGCACACAGTTTATTACAAAATACACCGCTTTTATGTACGAAAATTAATTTTAAACCATTATTAAAACATTAAAACAAGAATACCAATCCGCCGATGATCATATTCCCGCCAAAGTACGATTTCTCAAATTACTACTACCAAAGATTTTTTCATTTATGATTGATGAATTATTTACCAAATTCGTGTTTTCTTCAATTCTATCGAATAAATGATACGTTTAAAACAATAAAACTTGACAACAACATCATAACATTAGTGCTAATGCCTAACTATTAAACTATAAATAAAACATATTTCCGGGTAGTTGTCGTGTTTATAGACGTACAAATTTTTTCGCAAAATCACATAGGAATTAAAAAGTCTAAATGTAGAGAAGTTCGCGTTAAGTGGGCTTATTTTTAACAAAGTTGGAACTATTTGCAAATAGATTTAGATGAATTTAAAACTTATTTATCACAAAATGTTCCATTATAATAACTAATTAAAATCGTAAAGATTGTGTGATCTTGACGTCGTTCTAAGCATTATTTCACAACAAATACGAATGAAAACACAAAATACCAGTAAATAAAGAATATTATTTATATTTCTCGTGAAATAAAATTAAAATGCGGTACTAGACGATTTCCGGCCAACAATGTCTTCAAGATTGTCAAGTTACGGTTCAATATATATCTACTACGCGTTCATTTCGAGTTTGCCATCGGAGACCGTTACGACGTCACAGCTGACGGTAGCGTAGACCATAGATAAATAAATATGTAGCAAGCTAGCGTAGGAAAAAAGTCATCATGTTTATGTTTTTTAGTATTCATACTTTCAATAAAGTTAAATAATAACGTGTTCGACGAAATAAAATATTTTTTGAATGATGATGATGATGAAATAATAACGTGTTCGATAAAAAAAAATTTATAGTTTTATTTTACATTTTAAATATATCAAATTAAAGATTTTCGAATCGATTTCCTCTTTTACTCATTGTAACAGAACAAATTAACGAATATCAACAGAAACAAAAACAAAAAATCAACAGTAACAAAAACAACAGCAAAAACAGTAACAAACTAGAGAACGTACGGGAGCATAAAAAACGGACGTAAGTACACTTCGACCTTGCTATCGGTACTAAAAGGGCGACGCTTGAGGCGCGGAATGAGGGGGCGCGGCGGGAGGTAACGGCATTCTTGAAGTGAACGACTAGTACACTAATATTATAAAGAGGAAATATTTGTTTGTTAGTTTGAATTGAATAGGCTCTGAAACTACTGAACCGATTTGAAAAATTCTTTCACCATTAGCATTACCTTATCACATTATTCCTGATGAACATAGGCGATAGAACGTTTTCAAAAAATTTAGGGATCCGTATGAAAACTTCGTTAATGTAACCCAAGGTGTGAAAAAAATACCAAAAAAAAAACCTTATATCGCGTACGCTGCGGAAACTATTGACAATAGAGCAAAGTGATGTGCCACAGTTTTATGGAGGACATCAATATCTACATAAAAGTCTGCAATACCATATGTCTAACTATTATAGTTATCTCACAATAACTACTTTTCATCATACTTATCATTATCTATACTTATATATAATATTATAAAGAGGAAAGATGTTTTTGTTAGTTTGTTTGTACCAAATAAGTCCGAAACTACTGGACCGATTTTAATCAATTTTTACCAATAGAAAGCTATATTATAGGGGGGGAGGATGAGTGGATAAAATTTAAATTTTCTGTATAACGTGTATATACGCGGGTGAAACCGCGGGTTACAGGTAGTGTATATATATATATATATATATAATAAATACAACAAATCTGGGGGCACGGTAGTGCCCCCGCCAAGTCTAGCAAAAAAGCATCACGGCCGTACCAAACTTTTCTCGAAGCAATTCAGACCATTTTTGAACCCCTATAACTTCGTTAATAAACTAAACTAGCAACCTGAATTTTCAGTAATATATTTATGTAATAATTTGAACCAGTAGTTTAGGAATTATAATTAGTCAAAGTTTCTTAATTTGGCACTCACTGACTGACCGATCATCAAATCTCGAAGGCACTTCTACCAGACATAGGAAGCTTCAAACTTAGAACATAATGAGTGTTTAGTCTATAAATCAAGGAAAAACTAAAATATTTTTCAATTTTGGTCCAGTTTTCTATATACACTAACTGCATAAATAATTTAGTAATCCCATATAAATATATAGGATTAGAAAGTTATATTTTAAGTGAATGAATCAGTGTACCTGTATATGTATAATATAATGGAATAAAGGGTGTAGATATATACTATGTTGGTAATCAAGAAGTAGAAGGTACCGGAAGGAAAAAGTAGGACTATCCGCAAAAAGAAATGAGATGTCATCAAAAACATAACTTGTAAAAAAAAACAAGTCTCGCAACACAGTTCTTCTATCGTAAAAAGTTGTAAGATCCATGTAATACCAAGTCGGTAAATTTATTCAGTCCCTACTTAAGGGTCCTTCTGTCTTAAGTTAATACTTTTATAAGTTATGACTTTGCAATCGCACTAAGCAATCGAATTTATTGTGAGATACATTGTGTTTTCATGCGATGGCCCAAGTCAATCAATATAAAAGATTTTTAATATTGATATGGTCACAACAAGATGTTGTTATGTTAGCTTATTATGTAATAACTTAAGACAGAAGGACCCTTAAGTAGGAACTGAATAAAATAACCGACTTGGTATTACATGGATCTCACAACTTTTTACGATAGAAGAACTGAGTTGCGAGAATTGTTTTTTTTGCAAGTTATGTTTTTGATGGCATATTATTTGCTAGCCGGCTTTGTCCATTCATAAGCTCTACCATAGCAGAGCAAGATAAATAACGTGCGACACGGTAAGTTTTTGTAACTAATACGAACACTGTCACCAGACGCAATGTTTCAATTTTTCAAGCCTTTGATTCTGTCGAAATTTGGGTGGTGCTGCAGTCTCTTCAGCGGTGCCAAGTTGACTGTCAGTATATCGAAGTGCTGGAGTGTTTGTACAGTAGGGCTACGATGGCTATCAGAGTACAGAACCAGAGTACTAAACCTATTCAACTGCAGAGAGGTGTAAGACAGGGTGACGTTATATCCCCGAAACTCTTCACCGCTGCATTGGAAGACGTTTACAAGCTACTGGACTGGAAAGGATACGGTATTAACATCAATGGCGAGTACATCACTGACCTTCGATTTGCCGACGATATAGTCCTTATGGCAGAATCGCTGGAGGACTTAAGCACTATGCTCAATGACCTCAATAGTGCCTCCCAACGGATAGGTCTTAAGATGAACATGGTAATACTAAGACGTAGTTAAATAAATATTAATATGGAAAATTAATTTTTTCGCAAATCATAAGTTTCAAATGGCAGTTGACAGATTGAGCTATTTGATGTTCCTATTCTTATTTGAATCGCATAATGCATGTACAAGATAAATATATCACCACCTAAAGATATTAAGATTTTCCTTTATTAACTTATACTCCTGTATTTATTAAAATTTTTATTTGTATTAAATGTCTGCACATTTGAACTGTTAATAGATAAATGATAAAAACCTACATATAGGTAGATAAAAGTACTTAATTAATTCTGAATTAATTTAATTTAATTCAGAATGCTTGAATTATTAGGCTTTCTACGTTGTTTAAGTTCTCAGCTTTGAAATCTGTCAAATATCATATTACATCTCATTTTTAATTGGCGCCGCACCATCCTGGTAATAGAAAAAGTCGTGGACGACCCAATTGCTTTAGGTCAAAGCGATGCCCTAATGAGGGCTAATAGTCTTCCGCTCACCAGATGTTGCTAGTTGACACCGAGGTAAAGTTTTTGTTACACAATGTCACTTATGAGAAGATAGTTTTAAATAAAAGACAGTTACACAAAACAATGCGTCAGTTGTTCACTCAAATTTTTTGCACATTCTTACTATTTTTTTTTTAAATTTCTCTTTATAAGCATATTTGTGGTTTAGTTTCTTAATTTTTAATCTAACGAATACAAAATATTACTAATAGTACAAAAAGAAACATTAAGCTTTACATTTCCCGAACAAATTAACTTCACCTCACATGTTCTCATTTTTGTAGAATTGTAGGTTCCTTCTATGCGTACATATGTATATAATTACTCTGAGATCACTACGCGTTTGGGTAAATTGTATAAAATCACAACCGATACGTTATTTTGACTTTCTGAAGTACTCATTCAATCATTCTCATTTACAAAGTATTAAGATTAATCGTAGCATAAAAGAAATATAAAAAGTACTCTTTGATATAAATATGTAGAAATTGTTTTTATGGAAAGCTTTAATCTCACTTGTGATGTGGGAAGGTAGTTCCTGAATTATGTGTAATGTAGGGTTATTACGTAAAAGGCTTTTGGAATGGAATCGAATAATTTTTATTCCTACGAATTATTTATCCGAAAAATCGAGGTTGAGCTAGTAGTGGAGTACAAAAGTGCACCAAGCCACGCCAGAGTCAAGACCCCCTTTAGGGGTATATGTGTTCTGTGGTCAAGACTGCCCTAACGGCGGCCACTCCATGCGTTTTATACAATCGAGATAAGTAGCTATACGAGCGCCACTGCAAGTGCAACGTGCAGGTGTGTGGTGCACGTGTTGTTTACAATAATACCGACTAGCCATAGAGGCGCTGCTGCACGCGCAACGGCACAGGTGCAACAGCGCAGGTAAATACTATTTTCTTTCCTAGGCTCAGAAGGACTAGAATCCAGAGCCGTTAAGTCAGTTAATAAAAATGTCTCTTTCCTGGGCTCAGAAAGGCTAGAACCCAGAGCCGTAAAGTAGGAATGTCGATTCACTCTTAAAAAATCGATCTCTGAAGCGATTTGCATCGAAGATACTAGAATCGATTGTCGATTAAATCGAGGATTAAAAGATCGATTTTCGATTAATCGCGATATTTTCAAACGTAAAATTTCAAGAATTTGCGATTTTTTCATTAATTGAACTTTATTATTTTTTTTAAAATAAAATATTAGTAATCTTATTAATTAACATTACTAATATTATTTTTAACCACTACTAGTAAGCTTGTGTTAGGAATGGTCCGCACATACGCCACTCAATCCCTTTTTTTACAAATTGTTTCCATGTATCACTTTTATTTGACATTTTAGGCTAAAAACAACAACAATACTTTAACAAAAGTGCAAACTGTAACGTACATTTCTCGATAAAGCTATTACTACTACACGAACACAATACTGGTTATTTCCTTACTGTCTGTACTTACAGCTCACAGTATGTATCTTTTTGATAATAAATAAAGTAAATTCACAAGTTCACAGTTCAAACAAGTTCACAGCTATAATTTTATACTGTAGTATGTATATGTAGCCTTTGTTCACAGCACAGATTAAGTTATATCAACATTCCACAGGCAAGATTAGAATTAGAATTTAAGAAATGAAAATGAAATTACAACGTAGACAGAGAATCCTATAGACTCCGCCATAGCGTGTCGCAGAAAGGGACAAAAGTAAATACGTCACTATATTTAGGGTTACAAGTGTGAGGAAAAATTTACCCCACAACTAGCTATAAAATTAGAAATTAGTACGTGAAGTAAGCCTGAAATGGAACACTGCTATTAACGATTATCATTGATATGTATTGTAGTTGATGGAGAGCTAAGTGGACTGTATTTGGCTAATTATTTATTATAATTTACTGTGGTGAAGAAAGAAGAAACTAAAAAATTGTGATATCTATCTGACTAATAAACTTAAAGAAACTATTGTGTAATGAATGAGAGCTTAGGGGGCTGTATTTATATAGGTTGTGTTTTAATATTGAAGAAAGAAGATACTGAACTAACTGTTACCAGCCCTCTGTCACTCTTGCTACCTGCGTGAAATAATTACTTACAATCGCTAGGCACCCAGGGTAACATACGCAGTCGGGGCTAGCGCGTTGTAGGCGATCGAATGTTTGTTTTGAGTTTTTTAACGTAACATAAACACTCACGCCTGTCACCCAGAGGGGTAGGCAGAGACTACGGACTTCTATTTGGCACGATCCTTACATACCTCTTTCGCCTCCTTTACATCCATATATATACGCATACATGCTCGTCGGTTAAGGGTACTTCTAACGTGGCCCATTTTCAAAATATCGCCAATTTGTTCGATAAACTTTTTTTTAACGGTGTTTACGTAATTAGTTTTTTTGTAAATACTTGTTGAAATAGTCTTTGTTTAGTGTTATTTATATTATTTTACCTATTTGATAATTTTTAATGGAAAAACGTCGCTCCTACTATAATTGTTGCGTGGATGGATGCCAAATGCCCAAAAAAAGGTTTCAGATATATCATTCTTTAAAATTACCGAAGGATTTCAGAAACAAGTTATTAAAGGTGAATTTATTTCTTTTTTTTTTTTGTTAGATAGGTACTGATAGTAAAAAAGAATTAAGTAATAACACAGTCTATAAATCCATACAGTCGTCCGACTAAGACGTCTAGACGGGGCAATCGTGCGGGTGTGTGGGGTGAGACGCGGGAAGGACGAGCCCGATCTGCTTATGCCAATCGTATTAGTAGCTCGGGACACGACTTCCAGAGTTAGCGCGCTGCTTTTATTATTTTTAAATGTTATCATCCATTTTTATATCCAAAATGGCGGACATTTTTTAATAATATGATATGAGTATCAATTTCGATATTGTTGGATGCGTTCATAAATATTTATTTTATTCAAATAAATATTGCGTTCAAAGTATCAACTTAGTACGACCGGTTGTTTTTGCGTCCCCCAACAGCAAAAAATTAAAAAACTGCGATGTCTTACCCCAGCCAGTTTGGGAATTTTATCGCTAGTTCTTTAATCGGATGAATCAGTCCGATTCGAGAGGTTTTTGGACCGATTCAGTGAATCGATGCGGTGCTCTGCATCGATCAAAAAATCGATTATTTAACTCCAAAGAATCGGTTTTTCGATTAATCGATTTTAGATCGACATGCCTACCGGCCTACCGTAAAGCCAGATAATAAAAAAATCTGTTTCCCGTTCATTGTTGTTTGTTTGCAATTTGCCAATTTAGTTTCTTGGTTAGGTCTTTGGTTGTCGGTTGTTAATCGCTCGTGGAAAATTGTGTAATTGTTCAGAATAAGTGAGACTGGGGGAATAATTTGAAAAGTATTAGGAAACCGCTATGGAATTTCTTGAGTATAATGATGTGTCAGCTGAAATAAAAGGGGCAATGGTAATAATAAAACATTGTTAAGTTTTTATTTTAAATGAAACTGTAAATGACGAATTTATTATTTTGTTTCAGGTGCCTGGTCGATTGAAAATGACTGACCAGAATATAGTATTCAAAAATAGTAAAACCGGCAAAGTAGAACAGATATCAGCTAATGATATTGATCTTGTAAACTTCCAAAAATTTATCGGTTCTTGGGGTCTCAGAATTTTTCTCAAGAATGGAACCTTACATAGATATGGCGGTTTTAAAGAAGGGGTATGTAAATTCACGTATATACTTATTCAACCAAAAACTTCAATGTAAAAAGGTAGCCAAGTTTGGTACGAACACGTTTGAAATAAAAGAATTGAGATGTGAATGAGCACCAAGCACATTTAATGTATTATTCTATTATTTTATCGTATTACTATTATGTTTAGTATGTAATACCTTTGTTGAATTTTCCAACTGGTAAAACTATAGACATCTGGTACTTGCGTACAGGGTTGTGTGGGAGAAGCCTGCTCATTTAGTTGTGTGCTCATTTGTCACCCAATGCTTTAAAAAAACCTAGCAACCTCTTTTTAAAAACCTTTTAACTGCTCTCTACTGTAGCTGTTTTTTTGTATGTTTGTGTATGTGAGTGCCTTCTTCAGCCACAAATGGATTGTCTGAGTTTGAATGATTAACTTTTTTATAGGTGTGTCCGAGTTAAAAAAAAAACAGAATTACATATTTGCATTTCGTTATACGCAATTATTAGTGAAATTCATTTTATCATAATTAATTCAAAAGGCAATTCTGAAATCCAAAAACAGTTTAAAAGATTCAAGCTTAACTCTGACAAACCGAAATTAAAAAGAAAATTAAAAATTCAAGTACTGAACGTCGTGACATTATTTACATTTCATTATAAAGTTTTTAGTGAAATTTATTTTTATCCTAATAAATTTAAAATAGTGTAATAGGTTAAGCTTAACTCTAACAAGCTTGATAGAATCAGGCGTTACTTTGCGGAAATTCGTTATAATAAAGATTAATATCTAATTCGCAACCATCTGCTTAATTAAATACAATGATGTGTCTTACCTGGATTGAAGAGCACCTCAATCCAGGTAAGACACATCATTGTGTTTAATTAGGCGGATAGTTGCAAATTAGATAATAATCTTTATTTTCACAAGCTTCCTACATTAAAACATTATTAAAATCAAATACTGAACGTCTATAGCCAACCTTTCTAATTTATCATAATATTCTTTTTTGGCACCTCTCTCATTATTTCTACATGTTCCTGGTTGATTGGGAGAAAATGCCAAAAGGGTCGATGTGTTTTATACAATAATAATAAAGTAATAAGAATAAATAAATGAAATATTGACAAAGTTATTGGTGCTGTTAGTTTCTTGTAGTATTCTTTAATCTAACCACACCAAAATTTGTTTACAGTAAATATCAACAATTTGTAGTTTTCGGTATTTTTTATTTGAATGTGACTTAATATGTCATTTGATGACAAATTTCAAGTTTCTAAGTAACCTATAAGTGTCCTGGGTTTTTGATGACTGAAAGAATCAGCTGGTGAGTGATAAAAGGGAAATATTCAGATCTATTAACTCAAGAACTAATATAGTTTTATATATGAAATTAAGGATTCTAGTATTCAATGGGTCATTATAAGAAATCCAAAATATGTGTGCAGTTCTTATCTTTTTTGAGGGGGTTAAGAAGTAGCTCACAAACATGTAAATATACATGCTGCTAGTGTGTTGCCACATTTTTTTCCCAACTTCGCTAACTCACTGCTGTGCGTCTAGATTTGATTCTTAAACCTCACAGAAATGAGACAAGGCCTGTGCTTTAAGTCATATTATAATTAGTAAAAAGTAAAATAACTATGAATATATTAACAATATATACTGTATAGTTTTTGCTTGTAATAAATAGATTACTAGTCTTTCTTTATGTATTGGCATATTTTAGTATTTAAAAATTTTTTAAATTTTAGATTTAGTTTCTTAAATTTTAAATTATATATAATATGGCATGAATAAGTCAACAGCGATTGTAGGAGGGAGGGGAGATTGAAAATGAATCCAAATAACTGCCTCGAAGTTTATTGATTCTGGATATTCCAATATATATATTATTATATTATTAGTGTTTTACTTTATTAAGTAATTATTTATTAGTATATCGGATTTTTATGGAAATATATATATATATTATATACATATATATATACAGGGTTTCCCAGAACTCAACGTCAAGCCGAAACAGGGTGACAGGAATGATTGTTACGATCATGAGAAAAATCAGAAAAAAAATCTATCCCATGCAGTTCGGAAATTATGGGCATTTAAGAAAAATCTAGAATTTTGGTGATACTGTAACCATTTTTCGGTTTTTGTGGTTAATTTTCATTATTTTTGTTCATTTAAACTTTGGAACCGTAACCCTAAATAAGATTTCTAGAACAACAGTCAAAAATAATGACACAACTGCTCCAAGTTTTCTAGAATTAAGACTGTTTGCTAAACTATGAATTTAAAATTTTCAACATTTGTCGACTTTGAAAGGTCCTCCTTTAAAAAAAATGTACTAAAGTGCCTTGGCAAGTGCCATTAAAAGTTTGCGCATTTAATCAGGATTGTAAAATGGTACAATACTTGTTGGTTTTATTCTAAAAAAAAAAACAAGTAAATAAATAAAAACCTCGAGTAACCCGATTTTTGGTAACCCATTTTACTTAGTTCAAATGTTTTTATTGATTTGAGAGATGGGTAGTGGAGATGTTGCCATGAGCGAGCAAGACAGTGACGCCAATTTTACAAAAGTCAACAAAAGTAAGTAAAATTAACAAAATAATGATATTTATTATCTTGACCTAGTTTAGTTTTATTGGAATAAAAGTCAGATAGGGAAATAACATTTTTTTATTACAATAAGTGTTCAAATGGTTTACCATCAGCCTCAATACACGCCCTACATCTTATTAAAAAAGATCTAGTTATTAGTCGGGCATATCCTCGAGAGTTGATGTCCTCAGCAGCTTGAGAAATTCGTTCACGCAGCTCGGCTACCCTGTCAATGGGCTTTGAATAAACTTTTTCTTTGAGAACGCCCAATAAAAAAAATCCAGGGGATTTAAATCTGGGGAACGGGCTGCCACGAGATAGTGCCTGAATGTCCAATGCACCTTCCCGGATATTCCTGGTCAAGAAAATCTCTTACTTGCACCGCGTAATGCGCTGGGCAGCCATCTTGTTGATACCACATGTGACGACGATCTGCTAGTGGTACGTCCTCTAACAAAGTTGGTAAATTTTCTCGTAAAAAATTTAAGTAATTCGTGCCATTAAAGTTCTCAGGCAGCTCAAAAGGCCCAACAATTTTGCCATTTAAAATTCCGGTTCACAGGTTTACTTTAAAGCGATACTGGGATCTGTCTTCTCGCATTAAATGTGGATTCGCCACATGCCACTCGTGAAAATTGTGTAAGTTTATGTAACCATCTTTTTTTAAATGTAGATTCATCTGACCAGAGAATTTTTTGGATGAATTGGGGATTTTCGTTATGCCTCTGTAGCATTGTTCTACAAAATGAAATCCTTTCAGGATAATCTCGAGGAAGAAGACTTTGAATGCGTTGTACGTGAAACGGATGCATGTCGGCTCTTTGTAAAATACGATGTGATGTGCTTTTGGGTATTCCCGTTCTTTCTTCAATTCCACGAACGGGAATACTTGGATCATCTGCGACCTCTTGCAACACTTCTTCCTCGTAAGGAAAGCGAGCTCTACCTCCAGCCCTTATTTGATTCGGGAAATGGCCGCCCTCCGTAAGTGAACGGTGCACATTAACAAACACGCGGTGATCCGGATAGCGCTCTAAAGTTGGATATCTTTCACGATAAAGTCTAGCGGCGGCACTTGCGTTGCATCTGCATTCCCCATAAATGAGGTGCATGTTGGCATATTCTTGTGAAGTGTAGCGCGCAGGCATGGTAGATAACAAGGATGCCAACACAAAAGTGCAATTCCAAAAGAGAGAAGCTAAAGTTGCCCGGTATGTAATCAACAAGTCCAATTCACAATAATCTAAGTCCAAAAAGAGAAGCCAAAAGTGCAATTCCAAAATAGAGAAGCCAAAGTTGCCCGGTATGTAATCAACAAGTCCAATTCACAATAATCTAAGTCCAAAAAGAGAAGCCAAGTTGTCGGTACTAAATCAACACAAGCGAATACAGAAAGGTGCGCAGTAGACGAATGAGCGAATCGTACTAACTGGTGTCAGAGGCAGAGGCATCTCCGTCTCATTGCGTGGCGTCACTCTCTGTCTCGGTCGCTCACGGCAATCATGTCTATTATCCATCTCTCTCATCATTTTTCCGTAAAATTAAGAACCTACCAAGAGCTTGTGTGAATAAAAAACATTTGAACTGAGTAAAATGGGTTAGCAAAAATCGGGTTACTCGATGTTTTTATTATTTAACTAGTTTTTTTTTAGTATGAAACTAACAAGTATTATACCATTTTACAATCCTATACTATTAAACGAGCAATTCTTGTATATATATATATATATATAATCGGGATCTCGGAAACGGCTCCAACGATTTTCATAAAATTTAGTGTCCAGGGAGTTTCGGGGGTAATAAATCGATCTAGCTAGGATTTATTTTTAGAAAATGTCTTTTTGTCCGTGTTTTTAGGCAATGAAAAACTGGTACAATATCGTTAGAATAAGAAGGTAAATTTTGACAGACTGTTAATGATTATTGGTATAATGGGCGGTCACAGAATCGTATAACCCCGGTTCGAGCCCAGACCGACCGACCGACTTTTTTAAATTTTTTTTTTCAAGTTCCTTTCTTTTTTTGAGAAAATCTATTTTTTTCGAGCTCTTTTTTTTAGTATTTTTTAAAAACACGAAAATTTAAATTAAAATAATTGCACTCATGATTTTTTATTCAAATAACCAGTTCCGTTTTTTCTGTTATGTCGTTAAGATCAAAAAATATTATTTATATTTCATCAGTATGTAATTTGTATCTAAATATAATTTCCAAAACACATGAATTAAAAAAAATCGAGCGAAAAATACCGAGCAAAGCTCGGTCAACCAGGTACTGCTGGTTAAATGCGCAAACTTTTAATGGCACTTGCCAACACACTAGTATATTTTTTTTTAAAGGAGGACCTTTCAAAGTCGACAAATGTAAAAAAATTTAAATTCATAGTTTAACAAATAGTCTTAATTATAGAAAACTTGGGGCAGTTGTGTCATTATTTTTGACTGTTGTTCTAGAAATGTTATTTAGGGTTACGGTTCCAAAGTTTAAATGAACAAAAATAATGAAAATTAACCACAAAAACCGAAAAATGGTTACAGTTTCACCAAAATTCTAGATTTTTCTTAAATGCCCATAATTTCCGAACTGCATGGGATAGATTTTTTTTCTGATTTTTCTCATGATCGTAACTATCATTCCTGTCACCCTGTTTCGGCTTGACGTTGAGTTCTGGGACACCCTGTATATATATATATATATATATATATATATATATATATATATATATATATATGAAAACACTATACGGCTGGAACCAATAATACCAATCCCCTTTGGCTATGTTCGTTCACTGGTATGTAGAAACTTCAATAATTTACATGCTCAGCTTTGGAAAAATTTTGTGCAATGTAGACAAGCTAGAGAGGCTCTGCCTGAAATAAAAAGTTGTCTAAGGTTGAGACTGATCAAGCCACAGATCAGGATAGTAACAACTATCACAGGATATGGCTCTTTTAACAAACATTTATTTACCATATGTGTAACAGATAGCCCTGCACAGGGCATGCATAGGGAAGGAAGAAATGGTGGCTCACATGTTGCTTACATGTCCGGAGGTCGCTTCATACAGGGCTAAACATCTCGGCACGCCGGGATCACTTCCCCAAGTTGCTTGCAACATTAAAGGACTGTTGAACTCCTTTGTGGAGATTTCATGGCTCGAATAATCACATTATTCCTGCGAACTCGCTAAATACGCGCTTAGACGTGGAGTTGCGGAAAACAGCCCATCGTAAACTAAACTAGTGTAAAATTATATGATTTTGGGTAGTGTATATTTTGAATACCCTACAGTATTTATAATGTGTGAAAATATAAATTATATGTAATATAAATATTTAAAAATATATGTTGGCTACACATTATATTATCTTAACATTCTCAGGAACAAGAAAAAGTTGCAAAATTTTTTAAGTCCAACTACAATAAAGATATGCTAGAAAAGGAACTTTCGCTTAAAGGCTGGAATTGGGGTACGGCTAAATTCAATGGTGCAGTACTAAGCTTCAATGTTGGTTCAAACACTGCTTTTGAAATACCTTTACATTATGTTTCACAATGTAACACTGGCAAAAATGAAGTTACACTTGAATTTCATCAGGTAACTATGTTTGTTCACAATTCAAAGGAAATACTATGACATACCTATAAAATAAATATGAAATTAACACAAATTAAGAATAGGGAATATTGGTTACATGTTTTCTTATGTTATTATAGAATGATGATACTCCTGTCTCATTGATGGAGATGCGTTTTCATATACCAACAAATGAGCTGGCAGGTGACATGGATGCTGTTGAAGCTTTCCACCAACAGGTTATGAACAAGGCTAGCGTTATATCAGTTTCTGGAGATGCTATTGCCATCTTTAGAGAACTACAATGTCTCACTCCTCGGTATGTAATTTGAAAATCAATAATTCCACTACACATTGAATAAAACTTTATATACAGATTTTATCGCGTTTAATAAACTTAATAATAATTAATATGTTTACGAGGGTGGATTGAAAAGTATTCGGCCTAACACAGATCCATTCAATTCTAAAAATCAAATCTACCCACATTATTTAGTTCAGTTCAGACTAGTTCATTGTGTGAAGTTCGAAACGTGTGCGATAATTAGTTGTGATTTTATAAATTTATTAACAAAGTAATCGGACATAATTTCCTCGAATGGAGCAAATCGAGCAGCGTGCCGTCATTAAGAACCTCCATAAGAAGGGGCTATCATCAAAAGCCATCCATGATGACATGGTCAGTACATTAGGCGATTGTGCTCTGTCATATTCATCCATCAAAAAATGGATAGCAGAATTTAAGCGTGGTAGAGAGAGTGTGAAAGATGAACCCCGCTCTGGAAGGCCTTCGACGTCAACTACTGACGAAAATATTAAAAAAGTACTTAATTTAATAATGGGAGACCGCAGATTAAAAATTAGAGAGATAGCCGAGATTATAGGCATCTCTTATGAACGAACTCAAAACATCATTGTCAACGAGTTGGGTTTCCACAAGGTGTCTGCGAGGTGGGTTCCGCGACTGCTTTCAGTTGAACAAAAAAGGACGCGATTGACTATTTCACGCGACTGTTTGGAGTTACTTGAAGCCGATGCAGATGATTTTTTGAATCGTTTTGTTACTATGGACGAAATATGGGTTCATTACTGTACACCGGAAACAAAACAACAATCAAAACAGTGGAGAAGACCTGGTTCACCACCCCCTAAAAAAGGCAAAGTCGATTTTGTCGGCAAATAAGGTGATGGCTTCAGTATTCTGGGACTCGAAAGGTGTGATTATGATTGATTATCTTGAAAGGGGTCAGACTATAAACTCTGATTACTACTGCACCTTACTACGTCGTTTACGAGAGGAAATAAAAGAAAAACGTCGAGGAATGCTCAGAAGAAAAATCCTGTTTCATCAAGATAACGCCCGTGTTCACACGTCAGTACAGTCAATGGCTGAAATTCACAACTGTGGCTTTGAACTGTTACCGCATCCGCCGTATTCACCTGATCTGGCACCATCAGACTTCTTTCTGTTCCCTAACCTAAAAAAGCACTTGGGAGGTCAAAGATTTTCGACAAACGACGAGGTCAAAGCAGCTGTAGACGCATATTTTGACTCTAAGGAAGAATCATTTTTTTTTCAACGGTCTAAATGCTTGGAAGGGGAGGTGGCAAAAGTGTATTGAACTTGATGGTGATTATGTAGAAAAATAAAAATATAAATGATTTAGTATGTGTTTATTTTCTTGTTTAGGCCGAGTACTTTTCAATCCACCCTCGTATTAAACATGATGAAATCGGTATACATATCCTATACCTTTAAACGAGCAATTCTTGTATATATATATATATATATATATATATATATATATATATATATATATATATATATATATATATATATATATATATATATATATATATATATATATATATATATATATATATAAACACTGGTCGACAAAATAAAATAAAAATCCGGGAGCAAAAAGTTTACTATGTGATTTCTATTGGCTTTGATTTGTTGAGTCCAAATTTGTTTAAAGATTTCAACTATCACCTCTAGCTTTTCAGATATTTATATTTATATAAATATATCGGTATTGATATATATATTAAATATGTATATAATTAAGAACGAAAAAATTTACACTAATTGATGACTTTTACAACACAAATTAAAATGAAATATGAATTAAAAAATATAAAAAAAAAACATAAAAATGATAACTATTTGGTAGATCGCTTCCTTTTATACATTTTAACTGCTGTTTCTCGATTTATTTCCCAGCAAAAATCAGTTAGCATTGCTGGGGACCACTTGCCGCTGTATCTTTTTTCCATATGTGCAATGTCTTGGTGGAATCTTTCACCATGCTCATCAGACACGGCACCAAGATTTTCTGGGAAAAAATCTAAATGCGAATGCAAGAAGTGAATTTTTAAAGACATATTGCTTCCAAGTTGATGATAAGACGAAAGCAGTTCTTCTATCAGCTCTGTGTAATTTTCAGCCTTTTTTATTGCCAAGAAAATTGTGACATACATTTTCAAAAGCTACCCATGCTCTTCTTTCTTTATCTACCAACTTTGATTTGAACAGTAGAACAGAATCAGTACACAACTAAATACATGTACATACCAACGTTCAGAAATATCGCTGCCTGCAACTATAAACAAACAATTCTAGTGCAAACAAAAAATGCTATTGCGTCGAAACTAGACGTGCTAGGTGAATTCTAACTACATTTTTGGATTTAACGTAACTAACGTAATAACTTCCATATATACATTTTTTTGCTCTTATTTTGATGCCGACCAGTGTAATCGGAATCTCGGAAACGGCTCCAACGATTTTCATAAAATTTTGTGTGCAGGGAGTTTCGGGGGCAATAAATCGATCTAGCTAGGATTTATTTAGTTTATTAATTTAGTGGCGCAAATTCTGTGGTAGCATAGAAACCTGTGAACAAGTAAATCGGATAAGGAAAATCCTAGCTAAACAGAACACGCCGGGATCTATCTCTTTAAAGAAACCCGACGGAAGCTACTCAACATCGCCGGATGAAACCCAACGCATCCTAATTGATACTCACTTCCCAGGTTGCTGTGTAGTTGAAAGGGTGTACCACAACAGTGGTAGAGCCACGCGGCAGCTTTGCTGTCGCACGTATGGGCCGGCTCAAACCGGGGTGGTACCACGACCTCACAGAATACCGACGTGAAGTGGAAGCTCTGCTTCCGCGTTTCGTCTGGTGAGTGCAGGTGGCCGGAGGCCCAAATCCCCCCCCCCCCACAACATGTTACCGCAATTAAATGATAGACTACCCCAGGAGGGTACCACCCCCCCTGGAGCAACCCTCGCTGAGCATCCACGACCATGTTTCTCCACTTCTGAGCGTGGGTGCTCAGGCTGCCCCGCGTGTTCTGGGGGGGGGGGGGCAATATTCCGCTCAAGACTAAAACTGCTCGGGGCAAACGGAGCAACAAGACCAAGGCGACCCCTGCCACGCTGTCCGTGAATTTCTGCAATATCAGGGGACTTCACTCTAACCTAAACGCCGTCCACTACCATCTCGAGACGGCGAGGCCGGCTCTGCTCTTTCTGACCGAGACGCAGGTGTCCTCTCCGGCTGATGTCTCGTATCTCTCCTGCCCGGGGTACAAACTGGAACACTCCTTTGTGCCTCGGGCTGGAGTTTGCGTTTACGTCAGAGAGGACATCTGTTCTCGACGCCTCGGCAGACTTGAAGGTTCGGACCTGTCCATCCTTTGGCTGCGCGTAGACAGCGACGACCATCCGCGCGTCTACGGGTGCCTCTATAGGTCCCATAGCGGTAATGCCGAAACAGACCGACTCTTCGACCACGTCCAAATGGCTGCAGATTCGTTGCTACAGCAGATCCCCTCCGCAGAGATCGTGATCCCCGGCGACTTTAACGCCCATCACACCGAATGGCTCGGTTCACGTTTAACCGATCATGCAGGGAGATCTGTTCATGATTTTGCCTTGGCATATGGTCTGACACAACTGGTTACTTCGCCTACGCGGATTCCATATGTGGAGGAGCATGCACCTTCCCTGTTGGACCTTCTGCTGACCTCTCACCCGGACGGATATCAGATTTCCGTCGACGCCGCTTTAGGCTCCTCGGACCATTGTCTTGTCCGGAGTGTGGTGCCACTCACGCTGAAATCGCGGTTGCATTCTGCAGGCTGCCGCCGTGTTTGGCACTATAGGTCAGCCGATTGGGATGGGATGCGGTCTTTCTTTGCATCCTACCCTTGGGGGCGGGTTTGCTTCTCGCCGGACGATCCCAACGTTGTTGCGGATTCTGTCGCTGATGTGGTACTTCAGGGTATGGAACTTTTTATTCCTTCCTCTGTGGTGCCCATTGGAGGCAAATCTCAGCCATGGTTTGGTCGCTCCTGTAAAATAGCATCATGCTATAAGCAGGAGTGCTACCGAGCCTGGGCTGACGCATCAGCGTCCAGGGATGTAAACACCAGCGCTCTAAAAAAGAAGTATAATTCCGCCTCTAGGTCCTTCAAAAGAGTCATTGCCAAGGCAAAGTCAGAGCACATAGGCAGAATTGGCGAGAGACTAGTTCGTCTTCCTTCTGGAACCCGTGCATTCTGGTCTCTCGCCAAGGCTGTCCAGGGGAATTTCTGTCAGCCATCTCTTCCATCTCTGCACATGGAGGACGACTCACTGGCCCACACCGCAAAGGAGAAAGCCGATCTTCTAGGCTCTTTCTTTGCGTCTAACTCGACTCTCGATGACGGGGGAGTACGCCGCCGACCATCCCGCGGTGTGTGTGCTCCATGCCGGAAGTGCAGTTCACTCAGCGCTCGGTTCGCAAAGCACTCCTCTCCCTGGACATCCATAAGTCGAGTGGGCCTGATGGAATCCCCCCAATTGTGCTGAGGACGTGTGCTCCAGAGTTGGCACCGGTTTTAACGCGTCTTTTCCGGTACTCCTACTCCCTAGGCGTAGTCCCAAAATCATGGATGACGGCTTTCGTCCACCCGATCCCTAAAAAAGGCGACCGCTCAGACCCGTCCAACTAACGGCCTATCGCCATCACCTCCTTGTTCTCCAAAACAATGGAGTCCATTGTAAACTGCCAGCTCATGAGGTACCTTGAGGATCACCAGCTGATTAGTGACCGCCAATACGGTTTTCGCCGTGGTAGGTCAGCTGGTGATCTTCTGGTCTACCTAACTCACAGATGGGCGGAGGCAGTAGAGTCCAAGGGGGAGGCATTGGCCGTTAGTTTGGACATTGCGAAGGCCTTCGATCGGGTTTGGCACAAAGCGCTTCTTTCGAAGCTCCCTTCCTATGGGCTTCCCGAGAAATTGTGCGATTGGATCACCAGTTTTCTTGCAGATCGGAGCATCAAGGTCGTTGTAGACGGTGCAAGCTCCGATTGCAAGCTTATTAATGCTGGTGTTCCACAGGGCTGCGTGCTATCGCCAACGCTGTTTCTTCTGCATATCAATGATATGTTGCAAACCCGTAGCATTCATTGCTATGCAGATGACAGCACTGGTGATGCTCTTTACACCGGCCGAGCCAATATTTCTCGGGAAAACGTCTCTGAGTGCCGGGACAAACTTGTGTCTGAAGTCGAGTCTCTGCTGGACAGTCTCGGATTGGGGGCGACTAAATCTAGTCCAGTTTAACCCCCAGAAGACACAAGTTTGCGCGTTAACCGCTAAAAAGAACCCCTTTGTCGTATCCCCTCAGTTTCAAGGCACTCCCCTTGTTGCCTCAGCCAGTATCGGAATCCTCGGCGTCGACATATCGAGTGACGTGCAGTTTCGTGGTCACTTGGAAGGGAAGGCCAAATTGGCCTCTAAAAAGCTTGGCGTGCTCAGCAGAGCGGGACAGTATTTCATGCCGGCACACCGCCTGCAACTTTACAAGGCGCAGGTTCGGCCGCTCATGGAATACTGTTCCCATCTCTGGGCTGGGGCTCCCCAGTACCAGCTCCTTCCACTTGACCGCATCCAGCGCAGAGCGGCTCGAATCATCGACGACCGAGTGCTTTCCGATCGGCTCGATTCACTGGCGCTGCGAAGAGATGTTGCATCTCTTTGCGTATTTTATCGCATCTATCACGGGGAGTGCTCTGAGGAATTGTTCGGATTAATCCCAGCCGCCAAATTTCGTGAACGCACTACACGGCAAACGTCCCGATACCATCCACACCATCTGGATGCTTGGCGGTCCACCACTGTACGTTTCAAAAGGAGTTTTCTTCCGCGTACAACCTCTTTGTGGAATAATTTACCACCGGTGATTTTTCCGGGCCGATACGACCTGGGGACCTTCAAGAAAAGAGCTTACTCCTTTCTAAAGGGCCGGCAACGCACCTGCAATTCCCCTGGTGTTGCGGTTGATCATGGGCGGCGGTAGTCACTTAACATCAGGTGAGCCACATGCTCGTTTGCCCCCTCTTCTATAAAAAAAAAGGGTGAACCGGCATGAAGATGCACTGACTCGAACTGACAGCACAAAGAGTGGTGACGATGGACAAAATCCATTGGGCCATTCATAGTTTCCAACCCTATAAGGCAGCAGGACCTGACGGCTTATTCCCGGCACTTCTTCAGTGGGGGGGGATAAAGTCCTAATAGTCAGACTTGTTGCCATAATGAGAGCATGTCTGGCTCTTAAATATGTTCCTAGGGGATGGAGGGAAGTGAAAGTCACGTACATACCCAAACCAGGTAAGAACGACTATACAGACCCTAAATCCTATAGGCCTATTAGCCTCACATCCTTTCTCCTAAAGACGATGGAGAGGATGTGTGAACGGGAGTTGAGAGGGTCGGCGCTAATTAACTTACCGCTACACGAAAAACGACAAGCCTATAGCTTAGGTAAATCAACAGAATCGGCATTTCACCAGGTAATAACAAAGATTGAAGAGGCCATCCAAATCAAAGCAATATGTCTAGGCTCCTTCATAGACATAGAAGGTGCTTTTGACAGAACAAATTTCTCCAGCATAAAAGGTGCCCTAAGTAGACATAATGTTGAACCGGCGCTGATTGACTGGATAGTAAACATGCTCAGTACACGAACAATAAAGATTGCAGGTGAATCTCAGACAATTCAGATCATGAAAGGATGCCCGCAGGGTGGGGTTCTTTCACCTCTCCTGTGGAATATGGTCATTAATGAGCTCATCAGCAAATTAAACGCTAATCATTTCTACACAGTCGGTTATGCAGATGATCTGACAATACTGGTCTCTGGTAAGACAACAAGCATTGTGTGCGACCTGACCCAAGTGGCTCTCCGTATTGTGGAGAGATGGTGCAGGGAATATGACCTAACCGTTAATCCAAATAAAACGGTTATAGTAATGTTCACACAAAAACGAATGCTGAATAACTATCATCTTCCAAGTCTTTTCAGCACAAAACTCCAACTTTCTTCCGAGGTAAAATACCTAGGTCTTACCTTGGACAGTAAACTTAACTGGAACAAACACATAGAAAACAAAATCAGCAAAGCTAGTTTAACTTTCTGGCAGTGCAGAAACATGATTGGCAAACGATGGGGTTTAACGCCAAAAATTATACTGTGGCTGTACAAAACTGTAATTCGGCCCATGATCACATACGGCTCTCTGGTATGGTGGACCAAAACCAATGAAGCCACCACTATACAAAAGCTTCAGCGTTACCAGATTTGTATGGCTGCCACGGGCTGCATAAGGACAACACCAACAGCAGCTTTGGAGGCTATGCTGGAGCTAACACTGCTTCATCTATATATACAACAAGAAGCAACTTTAGCTGCCATTAGACTCAAGACCCTAAATCTTTTAGGTAAGAGTAGAGTCCCCCAAACAGATATAATCGATAGAATTTACTCAAAAATACCTATCTTACAAGCCAAGTATGATAGGATCCCAAAACAATTTGTATTTGATAAGAAGTACAGGATACAATTGAAGGAAACTGACCATCTGGAAGGATTGGGTCCAAGAGAGCTCAAAGTTTTCATGGATGGCTCTAAGACAAATGAAGGTGTGGGGTCTGGGGCTTTCTCTGAAGACCTTAATATCCACATATGCACACCGCTGGGTACCCACAACACAGTCTTCCAGGCTGAATGCATGGGTATCATCCAAGCGGCCATAGCAATAGATGCTAGGAAGGTGAAAGACTTCTCCATCAGAATACTGACCGACAGTATGGCGGTACTACAAGCTCTGAGTTGCAATGTGACGATATACAAGTGCCATCAACGATTGAATGAGGTATGTAAGCACAACAATGTGACTCTGCAATGGATCAAGGGACACAGTGGATCTAGAGGCAACGATGCAGCAGATGAACTGGCCAGAATGGGATCCTATAGTTGCTAGGGCCGGAACCAATAATACCAATCCCCTTTGGCTACGTTCATTCACTAGTATGTAGATACTTCAATAATTTACACGCTCAGCTTTGGAAAAATTTTGTAGACTGTAGACATGCTAGGGATGCCCTACCTGAAATAAACAGTCGTCTAACCAAGGTTCTAATGAGACTGACAAGCCACAGATCAGGATAGTAACAAGTGCTATCACAGGACATGGCTCTTTTAACAAACATTTGTTCACCATAGGTGTTACTGACAGCCCCATATGCAGGGCATGCATGGGAGAGGAAGAAACGGCGGCTCACGTGTTGCTGACATGTCCAGAAGTCGCTTCATACAGGACTAAACATCTCGGCACGCCGGGATCGCTCCCCCGAAGTTGCTTGCAACATCAAGGGACTGCTGAGCTTCTTCGGGGAGATATCATGGCTCGAATAAGCATATTATTCCTGCCCACCCGCAAAATACGCGCTTAGACGTGGAGTTGCGGAAAACAGCCCGTCGTAAACTAAACTAAACTAGGATTTATTTTTAGAAAATGTCTTTTTGTCAGTGTTTTTAGGCAATAAAAAAACTGCTACAATATCGTTAGAATAAGAAGGTAAATTTTGATAGTTTATTAATGATTACAAATAGCTTAATTGGTATATTGGGCGGTCACAAAATCGTAATACCCATGGTTCTAGCCCAGACCGACCGACCGACTTTTTTTAATTTTTTTTTCAAGTTCCTTCCTTTTTTTGAGAAAATCTATTTTTTCGAGCCCTTTTTTTTAGTATTTTTTAAAAACACGAAAATTTAAATTAAACTAATTGCACTCATGATTTTTTATTCAAATAACCAGTTCAGTTTTTTCTATTATGTCGCTAAGATCAAAAAATATTATTCATATTTCATCAGTATGTAATTTGTATCTAAATATAATTTCCAAAACACATGAATTAAAAAAAACCGAGTGAAAAATACCGAGCAAAGCTCGGTCAACCGGGTACTATAGTTTTATTCAATCAATTATTTTTGCTATTGTGATTAACGCTAACACTAAAATTTATGATATTATGTGTATATTACTTAGTGCTTTTTTATTATTAGCTCTGAATAAAATTGTTTTCTATTACTTACAGACCACAACTAATGCAAAAAATATTATAAGTTTTTATAATCTCTACAATTGTAATTGGATGGTAGACTATAATTAGTAAATTTCTACATAATTTTTTTAATTACTGGTGTCTGTAAATTTGATCAGTTGCCTGTTTTATGTTAACCTAGATTTTTATTATGGAAAAATATTTATATTAAATATACAACAAGATATTATGACATCATGTAATGGTTACCCCATACAATTTTTATGAAAAAGATTTGACAACTAATTCTTTCACTATACTTGTCTACTATTCTATTCATAAAACGTAATATTTATCAATATATATAATCTCAATAATTAGCAAGCAATATTGTACAAGTTTTCTTTATTTACAATAAATATGTTACTATTTTCCAGTGGTCGCTATGACATCAAGGTGTTCCAGACTTTCTTCCAACTCCATGGTAAAACATTTGATTACAAAATTCCAATGTCAACTGTACTAAGACTCTTCCTGCTGCCACATAAGGACACTAGGCAAATGTTTTTTGTGGTATCACTGGACCCACCTATCAAACAAGGTCAAACAAGGTACCATTATTTGGTACTATTGTTTGGTATTGAAGAGGAGACTAGTTTAGAACTACCATTTACAGAGTAAGTTAAATAAAGAAAAAAAAATTCTTTGCGTGTAAACATCTGAGAGATTTTTATGTAAAGTTTTTTCTAAAATAAAATTGTAATAAGTAGCCAAAAAACTCAAAACATGTTTAGTAAGTAGACAATTAATTTTAGACGATTATATTATAATAATGTAAAAAAAAATCAAACATAGCAAGTTAAACCTGAGCATCTCAAATGTGAAACCTATCAACAGCACTTAAACTGTTAAATGCAATGTTGAGTGCCAATTACCCCATGTTTGGTGGTATAGGAATATATCCTGAGAATTCCTGCATGTTTTATGAATTAAGAATATTTTGAGGATGTTGGAATCCTAACATGCATTAAGGTTATGTGGTGGACTTTCTTTCAAATTGTGGATCGATTACTTTGCACAACCAATGTAGTGTTAGGTTTGATTTCTTTAAAAAAAATTGTGATATTATTAAGCAAAATATAATAAGTATTTGGCAAAAATTACCTTCATATCTTACAAATATATTAGTAACATTCTTTTCATTTTTACAGGGAAGAATTGAAGGAGAAATATGAAGGTAAAATTACCAAAGAGCTATCAGGGCCTACATATGAAGTACTAGCCAAAATTATGAAAGTAATAATAAACAGGAGGGTGACTGGACCTGGTGACTTTTTAGGGTAAGAACAATTTATTTATTTATTTTATTAACACAATTTTATTATTTCGCCTTCTTTACCTTTTGTTTCAATTTTGCAATTGATTTCAATATAACTTTTCAATGTGCTAACTAAAGACTTGAAATGTTAAACATAGAAATCAAAGTCTAATAATATGTGGTAAAGCGACGTTGCAGCTATATTATGGTTGTACCACGACTGGGTCGGCCCCACAGGGGAAGGACTACGCTCTTACAGAATATCAGCGTAAAATAGCAGCTTAATACTGTTGTGTTTCGTATGGTGAGTGTAGAGATCCGGAGACCCTTTTTTTACTGGGAATGAGGCATTCCATATTAGACATCAGGGGTGAAAACGCACCCGTGTTTTAAATCTTATTCGAAGATAAATGTAGATGTCTATGGGCATCCACTTGCCATCAGGTTAACTATGTGCTCGTTCATTACACTTCTTCTATTAAAAAAAATGTATTGTTACGGACTACGAAAGTAAACTGCTTCTAGGTCAAGCATTATTAACTCCATCTCTATTTTACGTCTTCGAGGTGTGTAATTATTTCTACAAATTTGTATAGGACTACTTCTTAAGTAATAATAATAATAATGTCCTCCAGACCGAATTTCGGTCACGGCGGCCTGCCTCAACGGAGGCAAGCCATCGGCGCAGTACAGGATTATAGTGCCCAAGTGTATGCGCAAACACGTTTGCAGTCTATACTCTCACTCTCATAATCCGATGAGACGGTAAATCGACACGACCAGAGAGAGATCAGGCGCAGTACCAACGGCTTTACGTGCTTTCCGCGGCACGGGGGTGAGACACCGCCAACTTCCTGACTCCGAGCAGCTACTGAGAATTTCTTGACAGAAAAACTCAATAATTGATTTTTTGGCCCGACCCGGGATTCGAACCCCGGACCTCATGATCAGAAGTCGCACTACAACCACTAGACCAACGAGGTAGTCACTCCTTAAGTATAACCTATTTAAAAAAACCATTAATATCGGTTTACAATTAACAAATATATTGTGTAATACGTAGGAGGTCCCATAATGAATTGGCCTAACTATGAACCAATGAAGGAAATGAAACGAAACCAATTTTATTTTTCAATATAATCACCATGAATACTAACACACTTCTGACATCTGTGAATCAACTTCTCTAAACCTCTATAAAAATAATCACATTTTTTATCCTCAAAATGACTGAAGACGGCCGCCTGCAACTCTTCATCGCTTGAAAATTTTCTTCCTCTTAAGTCCCGCTTTAAATTTGGAAATAAATAATAGTCGGACGGGGCCATGGCTGGACTGTAAGGTGGATGTTGAACTTCTGTGAACTCGCATTGACGAACTGCATCCTTCGAAACACCAGCGGTATGAACAGGGGCGTTGTCATGGAGCAACAGGACACCTTTAGACAGCTTGCCTCTTCGTTTTTCCTTTATCTTGTCTCGTAATTTATATATTAAAGAAGCATAATATTCGCCGTTCACGACTGTATTACGTTCTTTAAAATCCACCATCAAAATGCCGTGAAAATCCCAAAATATTGTGCACATCAGTTTTTTAGTCGATTGTTGCACCTTTGCCTTTCTAGGGGGCTTTTCACCCTTATAACGCCATTCCATTGACTCGCGCTTGCTTTGTGGATCATAATACAAGATCGTAGTTTCATCACCAGTCACTAGCTCGATCACAGTCTTTGGATTTTCGCCACAAAGATCCAAAAACTCCGAAGCGCAGCGCACTCTTTCCTGTCTCTGTACCGCTGAAAGAAGTTTCGGTACCCATCTTGCACTCACTTTTTTCATGTGAAGATGTTCATGGATCGCGCGATGAACGGTACTCTTAGAGAGCCCAAGCCTTGCTGCAATTTCTCTAATCTTCAAACGGCGGTCACTCAGAACCTCCTCTTCGATAAGAGCAATCGTTTCGGGAGTGAGCACTTCCACAGGTCGACCGTCGTGGCCAAAGTCTTCGACGGTTTCTCTCCCGAGGCGAAACTCTTTCACCCAATTTTTCACTGTGCTATAGGAGGGGGCAGACTTCTTATACACGCCATCCAATCGTTCTTTTATTTGGGCAGGGGATAAACCTTTTTTTAAACAGAAACTTTATGACACTTCGATACTCAGTTTTCGACATTTTGAAATAATACGCGACTCTCGTTATTCAAATGCCTGTTAAACTAAGACTAAGCATTTCATGTCGATGCATGTTTCTTATATTAAGTGCACGATAAACGTACTATTTAATGCAACACAACATGTAGCGACATGTCGCGTTGAACTATATCAGGCCAGTTCATTATGGGACCGCCTGGTACATACCTAAAAACCTGCAGTTAAATTGAACACCGCCTTTTTTTTAAGTCTGCCAAAAATGTTACGATATGGCATGCACATCTAAATATTTACAGATTCATTTAATAATACCAGCTGTACAGCTACTGTGCACAGGTAATACTATTAAAAGTTATGCATACTCCATATTCTACCCAGAAGTAACTATGCTAACATGGTAGAACACAATTGTCTAACCTTATATTCTAGTGCAAATTAATAACTAAATATGGTATTTCATAGGCATCACAAGACTCCCGCAATAGCTTGTTCATACAAGGCAGCTGCTGGGTACCTGTACCCCCTGGAGAAGGGCTTCATTTACGTCCACAAGCCGCCGGTGCACATTCGCTTTGAAGAAATTGCCTCTGTGAACTTCGCTCGAGGTGGTGCCTCCTCTACCAAGTAATCATATTTTACACCTTATTTCAAATGCTACAATTTGCCCTATTTTTATTATTACATTATTTTATTTTTGCAGAACTCACATTTTTTTAAAGCGAGAGAATTAATATTTCTATTTTAAAATTTACATTGCAAACAAAAATAGTAATGGTATTTCTGTTTACAATGTAAATTAGTGTCACAATGTTAATAAGAATAGTATAAAAAGTACCGTGTGAATTAATAGCCATATTATCAAATTTATAGGGTAAATGAGTTAATATAATAATAATCATAATAATATTCACAAATCACAGATCTAGTCCCAAGTAAGAGAGTTGTGTGGGTACTAGACAACTGATAAAATACTTATATATTTCTAAATACATAAATATTATAGATAAACATAACACCAAATTTTCATCACAAACATTTGCCTGGGTGGGAATCGAAATCGGCATATATTTCAGTTAATGATGATAATATTGTTGTGAAGTATAAGTTATAGGATTTAATAAGACAGCTGGCCTGCAAGATTAATGTTCACTGGCATTTGATTAAATTAAAATAAATATGCCTTTTCCTTGAATAACTGTGACACTAGTTGTATTAAATGTTTGGGCTTACTGAAAGTAATACCTTTCATTACGCCTGAATTCAAAGCCTTTCTTATTTTTGCGCGTAACCCTAATTATTTTAAGCCAAAGAAAGTCCTACTCAGTCCAGTTGTTTCAGAGATTAGCTTGAAAAGACAAATGGACAGAAATTTAAAAAATGTTTTTTTTTTCTAAGTACAGTTCAAAGATGAACTGTTCATTTCATATGCATGAAGTACAAATATGTTATTTCGACAGACATTTCAATTTTATTCATTTGTATAGATGACGGCAACAGATAATAAACTTTATTATTTCTTATATTTACGCGGATTTAACAGGTTTTATCGCATTTAATTACGTTTTTTTTTGTTCTCGACGTTTCCAATAGGTACTTTGCAATACCCATGATCGTGTGGACTGAGTATTCAACATCCCAATATCATAGTTATAAGCTTATAAAAGTAAAGTAAAGTTACAGCTATATTCCTCTTACGTGGTAAGTTGCTTATAGGCTACCTAATTAAAATTCTTAATTTTAGCGATAAAATAAAAATTAAAAAAGGGGAGTTCATTCAAAGTGTTAAACTTGTACCAAGTAAATAATGATTTTTGAAAACTATGGCGAACGAACTCTAAACCTACACCAAACATCATCCCTGCAAATACTGTAATAATTTTGTTCAACCACGTCGGTAAATATGGGGCAACCCTTTTTGTGATAAGTTTGGCACGCGATTTGGCAGCCATGGCAAGCCGTCTAATTAATTGTGTAAATAAATTCTCTGGGCTGCGCTGTTGACATAATATATGGAGGTATTTAAATTGATACACCCGCTTTAGTTCCGATCCATTTAATCTTATTGCAGGGATAGATTCGGGATATGTGCCGGCTACCCTAAAGACCATGTATTCACTTTTATTTATGTTGTATACAAGACCATGCGAGGCAGCGTAAGTCTCGCAGACCTTCAACATTTCTCCGATCGCATTCGCAGTGGGACTCAGCAACACCATGTCATCCGCATAGCTGATGCTATTGATGCTAACACCACCCACGCGGCATCTAACACGCATGCTACTGAGCTCCACTAAGAGATCGTTAACATACAGGTTGAAGAGCTTTGGAGACGATAACCCTCCCTGCCTCACTCCAATCTGTATGACTCAGAGAGACTGTTTGACCATTTAACATAATTGGTCTGTTTTGCATACCAATACTGAAAAATATTAATCCTCTCCGCTGGAATACCCCTGTCCTCCATCTTCTTCCAAAGCACATCATATGAAACGAGATCGAAGGCTTTGGAGAGGTCCAGAAAGCAAGCGTAAACAGGCGTCCTCCTATCTGTGTTTGCCCTGTTTGGCCGAAAACAATAATATTTACTAGTGTTACTTAACAGTAATATTTACTACTGTTCTTATATGTGGTAAAGCCACGCTGCAGCTATATTATCGTTGTAGCGCGAATGGGTTGGCTCGACCGGGGAAGGACCACGCTCTCACAGAATACCAGCTTAAAATAGCAGCTTAATACTGCTGTGTTTCGTATGTTGAGTTTAGAGATCCGGAGACCCTTTATTGCTGGATCCAAGGCATTCCATCTAAGTCCTCAGGGGTGACAACGCATATGCATTTTGATTCTTAATCGAGAATAGATGTAGATGTCTATGGGCCGCAGCGTCCACTTACCATTAGGTGCATTGTCTGCTCGTTTGTCACCCTAATTCTATAAAAAAAGCTTCATTCGGTTCCAGTAAATATTACAAAGGGGTTGCAGTGGTAATGGCTGTGATAATGATATTGGCAGACATCACAAGATCTTAAAATATCTTTAATTTCTCAAGCAAGCTGGTTTGGTCACTTCACGACCGAAAATCGTGCTTAATAAGTTAAGCGGCGCTGTTTGAACTCGAGCGACTAGCGTAAAACAGAATTTTAGAAAAATTTCCAGTAGCTGTGCCACCACGGTCCTTCAAAAACACTTATACTTGTAATAAATAACTTATTACGTAAAATGACTTTTGGCTTGTGTGGTAGGAAATGATACATAGCTTGACATTGTTTTACCCAAATACGTGATAATGTGATAAATCTCAAGAGATCTTGGCTATAGCGAATTACTTTAGAATGGGTATAGCTTTTGCTGTACAAAAGGCACATTTCGACACATAAATTGTTACTTACATTTATTAATATGATAATTCCAGGTCATTTGACTTCGAAATAGAATTAAAGTCTGGCAGTATTCATACATTCAGCAGTATAGAAAAGGGAGAATACGACAAGCTGTTTGATTATATCACATCAAAGAAACTGCATGTCAAAAATACTGGCAAGAATGTAAGTTTTCATTTGTTTATTTAACCTTTATTAATTATTACACATCTTGTAATAAGAAATATAAAAGGCGAACTTAATGTCTATGGCATTCTCTACCAAGTTTTTCATTAGAAATCAATTAACTATGGTGTTTTTAACTTTTATTTTACTTGATTATAAAAAAAATCTTACCATAGTTATTTTTTTTTTCCTTACCATAATTTGCTCATATCCTCCATATTTAAAATTATTTTTATTAATGGTATTCGAAATAAAGCCGTGCTGCAGCTACATTGTAGCACGAAAGTGTCGGCTCGACCGGGGCAGGACCACGCGCTCACAGAACAGCAGCGTAAAATAGCAGCTAAATATTGCTGTGTTTCGTATGGTGTGTGTAGAGAACTGGATACCTTTTTTAATGGAAATGAGGCATTCCAACTTAGTCCTCAGGGGTTATTTTGTTTCGTAATTGAAAATAATGTAGATGTCTATGGGCACAGCAACCACCCACTATCAGGTGGACTGTGGTCATTTATCACCCTTATTTTATAAAAAAATGTTTTAGGATAAAGCGCTGTACGACGATGACTTTGGCGATTCGGACACGGAGAAGGAGCCCGACGCGTACTTGGAACGCGTGAAGGCCGAAGCTAAGGAACGTGAATCCGACGACTCAGATGGAAGCGATGAGAGCACCGACGAGGACTTTAACCCCGATAAAGCTAACCAGAGCGACGTCGCTGAAGAGTTAGTATCCCACAGTTTTTTTTTCTGTTTTAGTAATCCGAAAGATATCATGCCTCAACAGATGGTGGTATAACCATTTAGCATATGTCAGAAAATGCTAAACCTTACCCTTCCTACTCAAAATTATAAGCCGTAATAGTTTGCAATATTGAAGGTGTCATTGAGAGGCGTGTTCCTTCTAAGATCCTGGCAGCATCACCATGTAATGTTGGAGATGTCATCAGCTACTGTTAAAATTAATATACTGAGTTATTTTTCATAAGTAGCCAAATTTTAAACTTAAGTTCTAATATATAAATAATGATATGCCATTATAGCAGTTTTTAAAAATACGTGTAAATAAGGCTTCTACTTTTATTTGAAATTAACAATTGAATGATTTATGGGCAACAACGTTCTTCAATCAACGTGCGTGCGCATCAAAATCGGTAAAAGTAATTCATTACCATGCATTTTGAATTTAAAAGATAAAAAGAACAGAATGTTTAAATTTTTTTTAATTAATTTTCTTCACCATTTGCCTATTATTTATTTTGAATGTTCTCTGCAAATTTTGTTGGATATTGTATATGTCGTGTGGGCTATTCTATATTATAGGTTGATAGCTATAAGAGTAAAAATCTGTTGAAAACTCTAAGTCCAATACATAGACAACATTTCTGTAACGCCACTTTTTAGGTAATGCTTGGTGAGTCTTTCTCTTGTCAAACGGTGAAGCGTTACCAACCAAGGCTGGTGTTATGTGCGTCATCACTACGCGCACGAGAAGCTAAACGACTAAAATTATAAGCCTTTACTGTCCCACTGCTGAGCATAAGATTCAGTTCTCTTTACCTCCAGGGTGTTCAGTGTAATGCTCGAGTTTCTATTTCCTCAAATGATTCTGGTAAGTTTCTTTTTCGGCAATTCTGCCGTTTTACGCCTTGTGGGATGGGACATATTTACTATAAATCGTGGCTCACACCTCGCCTGTTATTTATTTATTTATTTTATCTTCAAGGGAAACATACATAATTTTAGTCTATTACATAACACATATTAATCTTACATTTAACAACAAAGTTTCCACAGTTAAGTAACGCATCGACAACAAGCGAACACCATGACATACTTAGGTGTGCAAAAACTAAAGTGAAGTTAAGTCAAAGTAATGTGTGATATTAAAGTGAAATGATAATTTAGCTATTAATTTAACTATTATCCATTACAGCTTCAATTTCCTTTTTAAACTGTCCATATGACTGAGAAAATATATCAACATGTGAAAAGTTGTTATTATAAGAATTACATGCACGAGTTATAAAATTGTTCATGCTATATTTTGTGCGCATGGTGGAAGTACAAAATAAAAGACAGTGGAAGCACAAAATACAAGAATATATTTTGTACTTCCTCTATCACTAATTATACGGCAAACAGATGTGGCAAGCAACAATACGAAAAATAAACAATAACCATTGTTATGAAAATACGTAAGTTTGTTTAACATGGTCATGAATTTGGTGATATTGTCGAAGTTCAGGCGTTTTATTGATAAGTTTATCACAAAGATGAGATACGCGTGATACCCATGAATACCGACTGTTAAATTATATGACAACCATATAATTCTTAAGCAGTCGATTTTGAAATGGCCCTTGATAGGTCTGTAAAGACTGCTATGGAATTGTTTAATGTTTGAAACCGCGCCAAAATCTCCGATTTTATAACACAAGTATCGGAGTATTTTATATGTGGTAGAGCCGCGCTGCAGCTATATTATGATTGTGGCACGAATGGACCGGATCGACCGGCGAAGGACCACGTTCTTACAGAATACCAGCGTAAAATAGCAGGTTAATACTGCTGTGTTTCGTATGGTGAGTGCAGAGATCCGGAGATCCCTTTTTGCTGGAAGCCAAGCATTCCATCTTTGGCCTTAGGGGTGACATCGCATCTTCGTTTTAATTCTTAATCGACGATAAATGTAGATGTCTATGGGCCACAGCATCCACTTACCATCAGGTGGACCGTGTGCTCGTTTGTTACCACCCAACCTCATTTTCCATAGTTTAGAAATAATGGATTCTCGTACGCTGCAACAAAATGACTTGCGTAGTTATAAACGTACCATAGATTGGGAAATTATTACCCTAGTCGCAATTGGCGCATTGGCCAGTCAACCATCATATTATTCAGGAATGACATTCATGGTATTATTTTATGTGATGCTAATTGAAATCCCGTGTAGTGCTGGTGTAAGAATATCGACCACCCCATATCATCCCGTGTGTGTCGTAGCAGGCAACAGAGCGAAACAGGAAGACATCAGGAGATTGGCAGCAGCGTCTTCCTTATACTGTCAAAAAATAAAAACTGCGGTTGCCAGTCCGCTCGTCAAGCGTGGCAACTATGGCAAATATACCCACTATGTGGCAATCTGTGGGGGAGGCCATGTTGAACAGTGGACTTTAATAGGCTGTAACTAATTGAAATACTTCTTTTTAGGTATGACACCAATCCGTCATCATCCGAAGAGTCTGATGCGTCAGGGGCGTCAAATGACAGCAAAAAAGAAAAGAAGAAAGAAAAGAAACCTAAGAAAACTATTACAATTGTATGTATTTACCAATATTTTTTATTTTTAGTGTAATATTTTGTGATTCTAGTCATAATATACATAATAATTATTATCATAAAACACTCACGCCTGTCACCCACTAGGCAGACACTGCGGACTCCCATTTAGCACGATCCTGACATTTCTCTCGTCTCCTTTACATCCATATGCATGCGTGTTTGTCGGTTAAGGGAACTCTTCATCTAGCCCATCCTCGTTGTTATCGTCAATTTGGTCGATAAACTTTCGTCTGGGGCTTCCCTTCCCGACTCTACTGTTCACTTCTGCAACATAGATTTGCTTTGTCACTCTTTCTTCGTTCATTCTTTCTACATGACCAAACTACTGGAGCATTCTTTTGTTAATTCTCAAGTCTCAAGTCACAACATCATCTTGCAATATCCTCTTTTCTCTTATCACACAATTTCTCACCCTGTCATTCAGATTCAGCATATTCTACTCTCGTGCTGCTTTTGCTACACCCAACTTTCACTGTACCACATTGAGGTAGGGACTAACAGCATTGTGAATTGCCATACATGCCTTTTTCTGACTTCCTACAATAGAGTGTAGAGCCACATACACACTCTATTTCCTGCGTTCATTCGTCATTCTATATCCTTACCATATCTGCCATCCCTGCAAAATTCAAATCTCAAATACACAAACCCATCTACTTGCTCGATCAACTGATTCCTGACCCCTTCTATTCTTATTTCAAATATCGAAAATTTTTCTTTATTTTTATTTCTACGTTAATTCTTTTCTATTTAAATTATTTTCCCATTTTTTTTTATAACTTTTGCAGACCGCGACGATGTGCGTGCATTGTGATCGCGCACCGCCTGGCAGGGTCCCCATGTAATTACGTTATAAAATGAGACAATCTTTATGTTTCAAGTCCTGTTATATAGCTGCCTTAAATTAATAATAGATATTAAATTAGTGGATACCGTGAGCCACACTACAGCTCGAAGAACCGCCAACAACAGAGGTTCTCGAGTGTCAGTCTCGTACCGGTAGGCGAAGTGTATGGCGTCCCCTCACTAAATGGGAGTAGCGACTTGGTAAAACATGCAAGAAATGGATGGATGCAGGTGGCTCACGACCGTGCTTTGCAGCATTCTTAAGGGAGGCCCATGTTCAGCAGTGGACTTGCGAAGGGTTCATGATGGTGATTTGTTATAAAATACTGGACAATGTCACATATAAATATATTGTCATATTTCTACAAATATGAGTTTTTTACAAGACACTTATATTTTCTTTCTAGTCTGAAGCTCCGCGTAAGCGTAAGGAAAAATCGAAGAAACGAGAAAAGGACGCAAACGCACCAAAACGGCCGGCTACTGCGTTCATGTTATGGCTAAATGAAAACAGAAAGAAGATTATTGAAGACAACCCAGGCCTTAAGGTTACTGAGGTCGCTAAGAAGGGCGGTGAACTGTGGCGAGATCTCAAGGACAAGTCTGTGAGTATGGTTTTTTTTTTGCTTATATGTCACCAATAAAAATATCAAAAGTATCAAATAGTGCAGTCTTTAAAGCGACTAATATAATTTCCTAATATTAATAGTTACTAATCGTACCAGTAGACAACACACAAAATTTAAATTTGTTTAATTTAGGAATGGGATGAAAAAGCAAGTAAAGCGAAAGAAGAATACAACCAAGCAATGAAGAAGTATAAAGAAAGTGGAGCAGCGGATGAGTTTAAACAAAAGAAGAAGCAAGCTGAGAAAGAACGTAAGGCAGCAGACAAGAAAAGCAAAGCTCCTCCATCAGCTAAAAAAGCTAAGAGCAGTAGTACTGCTGCTGCTGCTAGCTCTGGCAAGTTCACAAGCAGAGAGTACATTGAAGATGACGATAGTTCCTCTGATTCTGATAAGGAGAAGGAAAAAGAAAAGAAGAAAGACAGTAAAGAGGTAAGCAATAAGCAATTAATATATACTTGGACGCATAATAAGTGGACATAATATATATCAGTTCTGGAAAAACTGCGTATTAATGTAAAATTAGGTGATGTCTTTGCCTATATAGAAATTTAAACTAATGATTTCCGCAACCACAGTGCAGTCTTATTACAACCTGTAAATTTTATTTTTACTACTGACCCGCCTCGACGGCACTGCCTTTGATAAGTCGTTATAAATTTTTCTAATTCTCTAAAATAATTTACAAGCTTTGAATGAAATATGGCCTAGTTAACTCCTGGTATTGCTCTCTGTGTGTTCTTAAAGTTTCATTACAATCGATTCACCCTCTCTGAACATTAGCTCGAACATATGGACAAATGGACAAACATTTAATAATAATAATAATAAACCCTTTTAATCTCAATATGTTTATATTATGTACTTTTAATATGAATTAAATTTGATAGATTAATGCTTTTGTAAACTTAATAAAATATTTTCAAGTAGAACAATATTGGGGTCACAAAGGTAATAATAAAAATATTTAATCTAAATCTAATTACAGCCAAACATTACCTCACACAAGTTCATGGTTGGTACTGCAGTGTCAGCTAAGCTTCTTTTATTGTAAGCTTGGTGTATGAAATATGATTTTTCAAAATGATCGGAGCAAATGGTGCTAGTCCGTTTGGGTATCCAAGATTCATGATTTCTACAAGCTACAATCCAAGTTTGTCGCCTAAAAGGATCCTTTAAAAATCTGTAAAAACAAACCAATAATAGAAAAATTTACTACTTTTTGTAATACTTTACTGTAAAAGCTAAATAAAAACTACAAACCGGTTCGGCAGACAAACCCGCATGTTTAACTAACTTATCGATAGCTAAAGTTGTGGCGTCCATCACTATAGTGCAACACTTTCGGTTGCAGTGATACCAGTTTATTTTTATAAAAATTGCACACTTTTGCTGCGAAGTAGCGAGTTTCGATTTGACTTATTTGGCCTTTATTTTGTATAATATTTTGATAAATACTAGTTATCGATTATATTAAATTATATAATATTAAGTATCGTGTTGAAATTGTGCTGAATATATAAATGATTTAACAAAATCCAATACACATCTATATGTAGTGATTATTATTCATCACAAACTGATTAACTTATTAGGAAATATATTTTCGTTAATATGTTTAACTTGTGTAACAAATTATATTTATTTAAAAATAGATTATTTTTCACTTTATGAACTGTGATGGTCACACTTGGTATTGGACGAAAATATTCACAAAGTACGTGTTTTAATGATAAAATTACTTTAATATTATGTTAAAAATACTCACAGATGAAAAGTCACATTGTCCTTTTGTATACTTGACGTTTTTGATGTTTTTAAGAAATCACTACAATTCGGTATTTTGTCGGAGCTCGATTTACTGGAACGATCATTTCGTAATGGCGCACGACGCGGAGCAACTAGTTTTATATAACGAGTATCAGTCTGACTCTCGTACCTTTTACAGAGGGGTATGCCTTGCGATGCCGTCTCCTTTGGTTTAATACTCAAAGGTACGTCATGCATTACACATCGGCGTATCATTCGCATTTGTGTCACTTGCTCTTACGCACACAGCATGCATTCCCCACCGGCAATCGGACTCCACTGTCGACCTCCGATCTGAGCAGGAGGGTGATGTAGTGACGCTGTCGTCGCGCCACAAGAGAAACACACCGAAGCCTAAATCGCGCTATCAAAGTTCCGAATCATAAATAGTATATATAGGACAGCTCCGAACTATCACACGAAGCGTTGGGCGCTCCCCGGGCATAACACCTTGCCCGGCGGGAGATCTCCCCTTTTCCTTCTACGGCCACAAGTATACATGTGTTGAAGACTTTTCTTTTTATTTGCATACTTAGTTCCTTGGATTTCAAGACTTCTTTGAAGGACCAGTATTTTTTCCATCCGTTTCCTATTCTTCTTTCAATTTCTTTGGTAGTTTGATCTTCGTGAGATATGACTTGTCCTAAGTAGATGTAATCCGTCACATATTCAAGAGGTTGGTTTTCAACTTTAATTACTACTGATTCGGAGTTTGTGAGCGGTTTTGTTTTGTCTTTGTTTATGCATAGGCCTACGTTCTTACTTTCTTCGTTGAGAGTTTCTATCATTTTACTTAGATGCATTGGGTTTTCCTCAAATAAGACTATATCATCTGCGAATCTTAGGCGGTTTAGTTTTTCAGCTAGCACATTGAGGCCATATTCTTTCCAATCTAGTTTGCGGAAGATTCTTTCCAGAACAACCGAGAATAATTTTGGTGAGAGAGGGTCTCCCTGTCTTACTCCCCTCTCGATCTTGAACTTTTTTCCCAAGGTTTCCAGTAGGATTCTCGCAGTTCGATGGTATCCCCTGCTGTTCTAAGCTGTTCCATATGGCCATGTGCTCTATGCTGTCAAAAGCTTTAGAAAAATCAATGAATGCCATGTAGAGTTTCTTGTTATACTTGTTGTATTTTTCTACTATTTGTTTCGTTGTATGTGTATTATCTAGAGTGGAATATTTTTGTCTGAAGCCGGCTTGCTCCCGTGGTTGGTTTTCATCTAATTTTTTGCTTATTCGATCCAGAATAACTAACTAGAAAACACCTTATAGATATTTGATATCAGGCTTATGAGTCTATAGTTTCCTATATCCTCCTTTTGTCCTTTTTAAATAATAGAATAATGTTTGCTGTATTCCATTCTTCCGGGATTTGGTAGTATTTCATTGAATATTGAAGTAAGTATTGATAGTAGTTCTTCGAGGGTGCCTTTTAGGAGTTCGTTCGTCACTTTGTCTGGTCCTGGAGCTTTTTCCATCTTCTGGCTGTATATAGCTTTTTCGATTTCTCTGGGAAGTATTTTTGGTTCAGTTTCTGGTTCTTTTTTGGTGTCAGTCCTTGGGTGGTGTTCTTGTTTGTGGTCTGGGTTTGAATAAAGGTCTTGGTAAAATTTTGTGGCTGTTTTTTCTGTTAGATGAGATAAATTTCTTTTTGTTTAGTTTAGGTATCCATTCCTTGTTTGTTTCTCTCAGTTCCTTTAGTTCTTCATAGACTAAGTGCTATTATAATTTGAAAATGAGAACTTATTCTTCATCACAAAGCTCAAGATTTTTAACCTTTGACTGGTGACGTGGCTTGTTTGTAACATAACTGGTGACGAACGGCCTGACAGGCCGATGCTATATCTGGTCTATAATATGTATATTAAATATGGTTTAGTAACATTTAGTGTTAAATTATATCATAAAGTAAAAATTAAAACAACTTCATGTAGTCTAAATATAATTTTTAATTATGTACTGGTAGTTACAAAGTTTCTAAAAAAGAGTTTTTATACGCACCAAGTTGATTTTTATATCACATGGAATATGAGTAGGTATTTTAAACTCAGCGCTTCATGTGTTGTAAAACCGTGACTCTCGCCAAGATCTTGATGAACTGCCATCACTGCCCATCAATGGTGTTGGCACCATCGGATTGATAAAGATTTTTGCCATAGAAACATCTAGATATTCTTGACAAAGGTTCGTAACTGTTACTTTCTGAAAGCTGATTTTCCCGATGTATTACTTGTTCTTTATCGTCAGAAGCACTTGCTTCCGTTTCCGAGTTGTGGTCCCTATGTTCCGGGCATAATTTTCGGGAACGTTTTCAGTTTCCGGTCCATTTGAGCCTTTTTGTGCTAACCATTCTACAATTTGGCGATCAACATTAAAATTTACGACTGATGAGACTTGTATAATCGTGCTTGGCACTGCATTTATGTCAACAACCTCTCGACGCTTTTTTCTTGGGGGTCCAGAGTTATTCATTGTAATATCTGAAAATAACCGCAATAAATCGATATAGTGAAATTGCAAAAAAGTTACGTAAGTGGTGACATAAGGTCTGAGATAAAGTTGTTCAAAACGGCTATAAATCAATAGCACGCTACAGACTATAAACTAGAAATTTCTAGCGCGCTATGAAATACGCTATGTTATAGCGCGCTATTTATAAAAAAGTGTGTAAGAGGCCGGTAAGCGCGTTTTTAGCAGCACGCTATATCTCGGAGCACGCTACATTACATGTCGTTCATTGGATAGACCGCGTGCTATATAAGAACATTGTTTCGTAATAAGTCGCATTTTAGATTAACCCTTAACCACCTAGCGTCGGTCACAGTGACTCCAGGCGATATATTTTTTCAAATATTTCCGTTATTACACGGGCTACGCGCCTGTGACTCTATGTACTTTTTCCCCGCCCTCTCCAGTTTTCGCCCTGCGCTCGACCAAGCAACACGTGCGCGTAATAAAAAAATACAGGTAAATATATTTCGCATGCGGTCATGGTGACCGACGTTAGGTTGTTACGTTACTTTTAGTGCTAACATTTTCGTGTTGTTTTTTAGGTTTATCATGTCTGAACGTGATCAAAATATCATTATATGGTTAGAAGAGTGTGAATTAGATTCCTAGGATGAAAGGGACGTGCCGGAATTACCAAATGAAGACTGCAGTGATGTAGAAGATGTACCATTAGACCACGTCATTGATGGTGAATGTCAATCAGACTCTGAAATTGATGTTGAAGAGTTAAATGAATATGATGATACAAATGATCTGCCAGTTGATGATGCATCTTCCAATGATGATATTCCATTGTCAAGATACCGGAATTATTTCGGAAAAAATCGGTTCCGTTGGTCGTCTCAACCTCCAGTTTCGCGATTAAGGACTTTGCAACACAACATCGTTCAGCAACCTCCAGGATTGAAAAGGAACTTCAGAGATGTTTTGAACAGTAATACAACATCATCCGATTTATGGCATTTGTTTTTTTACTGATGATATGTTAGAAGAAATTGTAAAGCATACTAACGAAAAAATTAGAAAGATAAGACCTAACTATCAAAACCAGACATGTGTTCAAGACCTTGACGTAATTGAGCTGAAGGCTTTTATCGGTATGTTGTACTATA